AAGAGAAGGTGGATGCAGGTGCTGGCACCAGGCAGCTCTGAGAGCTGCTGCAGCTCGAGTGCACTGATCCCCTGGGTGGGAATGGGGTGGGAGCTCCCACAAGGATCCCTTGTATTTGTAGGGATCTTCTGCTGAGCTATCAAACGCTGCAAAACACACACGTGGGTTTCCAGTGCTGCCATCCCAGTGTGCCTTATGCAACTCACACACTGGGAAATACTAAAAGCATTAAGTCATTTTTAAACCCTCCTGTCCCAGTCAATTTGGCATCCAGCTCACATAAAAAAACCTTTTAGTAAATATTAGAGACAAATATTTTTCTTATGGAACGCACAGATATCACTTTTCATCTTCCCTCTTCGTCTGCACAGTGTTTCATCTTCCTCTGCATGTTTTCAGTTCTCCAGATTTCCCCTGGCTGTGGGGGAACCTCAGCTGTGGTACGTGAGAGGTTCTGTGTGAGCATGCCAGCGTTGCACAGCCTGCTCCAAAAGGGGTATTTGTGAGCAGCAGGGAGAATAAAGGGTGTAAGGAGCCATCAGGGAAGGATGATGAGTTTCAGGAGACAACTCGGTTTTCTCACTGCTTTTTTCTGTGATGATTTACAGTCAGGAGGAACTGAACACTCACAGAATATCACAGAATGGGTTGGATTGGAAGGGACTTTACAGAACATCCCGTTCCAACCCCCTGCCATGGGCAGGGACACCTCCCACTAGAGCAGGTTGCTCCAAGCCCCATCCAGCCTGGCCTTGAACACCTCCAGGGATGGAGCATCCACAGCTTCCCTGGGCAACCTGGGCCAGGGTCTCACCACCCTCACAGTGAAGAACAACTCCCTAATTTCTAATCTAAACTTCCCCTCTTCTAGTTTGGAACTCTTACCTCATCCTATGAATAAAAGGTCTTTTAAAAGGACCTCGCTCTGTCCTTCTGCAGGCCACATGCATTTTATGTTGCTGTAAGACATCAGGAACATACCTGGCTGGCTTTTCTGGCCCTAGAGCCAAAGGAATCAGACTTGATATCCGAGAAAAAGAAATCTGGAAGGTTCATTAGCAACAGTCATAGAATCAAGGAATGTTTTGATTTGGAAGAGACCTTTCAAGGTCATCTGGTCCAACCCCCTGCAGGGACAGGGACATCTGCAGCTAGAGCAGGGTGCTCAGAGCCCCGGCCAACCTCCCCTGGGATGGTGCCAGGGATGGGGCAGCGACCACCTCTCTGGGCAGCCTGGGACAGGGGCTCACCACCCTCAAGGGAACCAGTCTCTCCCTTCTCTTCAGTCTAAATCTCTCCTCTCTTAGTTTCAAACCAACACCCCTTGTCCTTTTGCAACAGCCTCTGCTAAAACAGGCCCTCAGTCCATCAGCCTGAGGCTGCACCAGTCAAAATCTTTGTTCAAAACATGGGAAAAACTTATGAAAGTAAAAGAAACATAAACCTGAGACTTCCTCCTGTCCAGGGCCATTGCTGATGGGTTTCTCAGAAGATCTCTCAGTGACACCTACTGACACGCAGGATGCTGACGTGTGAGCAATCTGCTCTGGGTATCTCAGGTTCCACAACCAGGTTCTCCACACAGGAAGGGAAACATCTGTGAAAAAAGCCTGAGCACCTCTCTTCTGCTGCTGCCACGGGAGGTGCTGCCTGGTGCATCGTCATGCTTGTTATTCCCCAGGAGAGGACACAATTAGAGCTGTTTTCTTACCACACATATGGTATCTGGCACCAGGTACACGCTGCCAGATGGACCCCTTCTCAAGGCCTGGGCAGAGGGGTTTTGCAAGGGCAGCATTTTCCTCCCCTGGTGTTAAACATAAATCAGTCAGAGGAACAATCTGGTCCAAGTCCAGGGCAGCTCCAAAAAACTCTGAGAACTTCATCTCAGTGATATTTTCCCCCCTTTAGTCACAAGGGTATTAAACAACTACAGCACAGCCCCAGTTTGTGAAGCAGTGAGCCAGTGCTCGGGACTGGTTTAGTCACCTCATCTCTGAGACACCTTGTCCTCCAGCAAAGAGTGAAGACCCTAGGAGTGCAGAGAGCACAAGGCTGAGCTAGTGCCAGCCCCAGACCATCAGAGAGACTGCTCAGAGCCTCCTGAACTGCTCCAGAAGAGAGGAAGCACAGACCCCTGCTCATCCTCAGGTGTGCTGCCTCGACGATGAAGACTGAGCTCAGCACACGAAGGAGAACAGAAGGTGGTCTCCAGCCATGATGCCATCATGATGCCACCTGATTGCCACCAGATGCTTTAAGTAATTCATAAAGTCCTTCTTGGTCTTAGAGGCTGGGTGGAGATACAGGATCAAGGCTGCAAGAAGGCACCTGGACACGAGTTGCCATGGGATGCTGAGAACAATACAAAGTCTAAACAATTGGATTCCCCCAGAAAAATGCTCTGGAGCCATTTCTATTACTCATTATGGATTCTGGGTTTAAAGCTCCACCAAATGCTGTAATTGCATAGTCCTCTCCAAGGAACTGCAGATAATCTGAGCAGCTCGCTGCCTGTTAGGAGAATGGCCCTATCACATTAGGGACCACTTAAACATGGATTGCTGAAGGCCATTTAGCTTTAGAGGAGCCGTGCTCCACATTTCAAAAGAAAAATCAGATAAAATGTAAAGAAAAAAAATATCCCAGACTGACAGATAAACTGAGGGCTGGAGGAGATCTCCCAGCTGACAGGAAACAAGAAAAGCACGTAGGGCAATTTTGTAAGAAAGGCATGCTCAGAAAAGAGATGTGAACATGGTTAGCAGTGGACTTGGTAGTTAGGTTAATGGTTGGAGTTGA